GGAAACAGACAAAAGGGAAGAGGAAGCTTTTCTGAGGAGAGGTTCACACACACACACACACACACACACACACACACACACACACACACAGAGGGGCAGGGGATTGACAAAAACCCTCTCAGGAGTAGCAGTGTGGAAACACAAAAGTTACAGTTAAGAATGTGTGTGTGTGTGTGTATGTAGGTGCACGTGTGTGCGTAGAAAGTATATTTAGAAATTGTGTCTCTTGTTTCATGAAAAAATTAGTTTAAAATCCATAAAACATGCACTGCTTGAAATCACTGTGTGTTATCTTAGAGATATTTAGGGCTATTATACTGTTACCATCCATCAAGACATGAGTATTCGGGGGTTCCAATTATGTCTATTTTAACAGCTCCCTTAAATCCTTCCTTAATCAAATGGGATGTAAAGAATTAAGGAAATAAATGCATATATTTAAGAAACATATGCCATATATATATATATATTTCAGTATAAATACATGTTTACTGTATATCAAATCTCTGATATAAATAATTCTAAACACTCTGGAGGTACAGCACTGGACTGGAGGTAAGGGCAGGAAGGACGTGATGCCAGGTGACTAGAGATGAAGTGAGGTCACAGGTGAAAAGGAAAGGGCAGACTAGCCCTGCGGTTTGAGTACCCCAAAGATCAGAACAAGAGGTGACACACCAGGCATCAGTCAATGAAATGCAGGAGGATGTGTGTGAGGGCCCCCTGGTGTCTGAAATACAGGTGGTGGAGACAAGAAGTGAAAGCACAGAGATCAACCAGAAACCTGACAATCTCCAGCTATCAACATGGCCCCAGGTGTCTCTCCCTCAAACACTGGCCGAGGAGCAGCCAGGGAGCTGGCGTGGAGGCTGCTGGCCTATGGGATGTGCGCTGCTGTGTTCAGAGAACGGGAGGAAACTGAGAGCCAGTGCGCATTCGCAATAATCACAACGCCATGCCTTCAGCTAATCCAGAACCTTCCTTGCTCCATCCACGAGTTCCAAGTGAAGTTTCTTTTCTAAGACATATTTAAAAGGCAAAAACAACAAGAACAAAAAGAGAAGTTGCTGAAGAAAGTCTTACTATGTCAACGAGGGAGATGATGATAACTAAAGTGTCCAAAAGAAATGGGAACTTGTGAGAAGAAGAACAGTACTGTGCTACACTAAGCCTCTGACACCCATCGCCACACTGAAGGCAGCCAACAGCCTTGGGGAGGGCTGCCTCCCGCCAAGGGGAGCGCAGCGTCAAGCCCCGCTGCTGCTGCTGAGGGTGCGCCAAGTGCGCCTGGGAGCCGCAAGTGCAGGTCCCAACAGGCCTGGAGGAGGAGACCGGAGGGGAGCCCGGACAACATGGGGCTGCGAGAAGACCGGCTCTTGCGGAACTAACTTCAGAATCGGAAAAGAAAACAGTTAACGCGCATCCATACAGAGGCCCCTTGCCTACAAAACTACACCCGAGATGACCCTCCCCCTTAACCAAAGGCAAAGCTGCTGCTCTGGCCACATATCACACTCAGAGATGGATTCGGATATGAAACATCATTGACTTCAGTGCAACTAAAGGAACACATGAAGGCCTCGATTAAGAAGCGTGTGATAAAACTGCTGTAATTTATGCGATCACGTTGAATAGACAAGAGTCCCTTGCTTTGAAAACCCAGTCATACCGCTTACCCAGCAACTCGTACAGAGAATTCAGAATTGATTTCCACGACTCCCCGGCTTCTCTGCCGGCAACGTCAGCAAAGTGAGCGGCACTGCTGTAGACATGCAGCCTGTCTATGCATTCCAGCACGAGGTTGATCATTCCCTGCAGGGGTCGAAAACCACCATCAGAAACTGCGACTCTGCTCACAGACAAGAGGTGCTAGCTAAGTTGATTAAAAAAAAAAAAAGGCTGGCTCAAATAAGTCTGTTAACCATAAAGAAAATTGAAATCGTTTATTCAAAGGACAGGAAGAAACCCACCTGCATGTGAAATAAAATGATCTTGAAATAATTCAAGTGGTTTTTCAATCCTGAGTGCTGTTCTCAACAGAAGCAGAACGATATAAAAATGTGTACTTCACCCTTAGATCTGCAAGGCTTGAGAGTAGACTGATGACTCAGTCATCACAGTATTTATTCTCCTGTGAGTAAGTGAAGGGGTTCAGAGTGTGCCACCCCAAAATACGCCACTTTGGCATAAGGATTATTTTGGGCTGAAGGCAACTGAGAAAAGCAAACACAAGAAAAATTCTCTACCCTTCTCTGCCCTGCCAGGAAGGACAGAAGGACGACTGAGACCACGCCAGGGTCTCACCAGCCCAGACCTGCACAAAGCAATCTATGTGAACTGGCCCTTCTTGTCCACTGATTTCCTGATGTACTTACCGTCCCACAATTTGCTGCACCGAGAAGTTCAAAATTCCTCTCCTTTGTCTTATCACTTCTCCACAAATTCACTGTTCTTTGTGTTAAAAGGCTATATAAAACTAAGTTCTAATCACCTCTTTGAGTTAACCATTACTGAGCACTCCCATGGAGGCACACAGTGTACACTTTAATAATCTATTTGTTTTTCACTTGTTCATCTGTCTTTTGTCAGTCTAACTTGCGGGCCCCAACCAATGAACCTCAGGTGAGTAGAGGAAAACGAGTCCTTACTCCTACGTGAGCAGAAGAGCAGGTCCTCACTCTCAGGGATGACAGCATCACGGACACTGGCATCATCACCGTTATTACTTTTAATATTTAACTGGAGATGTAATCAATTAATAAAGAAAAGCTCATGAAAATATGTATCTTTAAAGCAAATCAAAAACTCATTATAGAAATTTGTAAGATGCTGTCTAAATTTGAAATTATGCTTTTGTTATCATTGCTAGATCAAGGTTGTCAAATGAGGCAACGCACGTGAAAGGAATGCTATCAAGAGCTGACCAATTAAATTAACTTATTTCACACAGGGAATCTGTGGCCCAAAGAAGATTTCTAGGTCCCCATGGACACTGTCTTTCTAGTGGAACTTTCCTAAAACGAAATCACATGCAGAAACTTACTATACGTGAAAGGAGAAAGGAGGGTTGCCCTGCCCAGGCAGAGAGCCTGCAGCCCAGCTCCTCAGGTGGCCCCGTCCCCGGGCAGACTCCATCCCCAACCAAAGCTCCTGGCGAACCCTAAGGCACTTCCCAGGAGCCCCAAGGAGTCAGCTCAACAGTTTGGAAACCCTCATGCTTTCCAAAGCCTGTATTCATTTAGACACTTTGAGTACCCGTTTTTTATAACTAGCAGAAAGCAAATGACAGTGCAGCAAATGATCAGAGTGAAGACTGAGCAGACAGTGAAAGAAAACATCCTTTGCCAAGGGAGCAAAGACTTTCATCTTTTAAAATTAATACTTAGTGAGTGAGAAATAAAAATAATTGCAGGATTTCTCCATGGCCTGGTCCCCTTGTTCCCTTGTAGAGTAGAACACCTGCTCATCTGCATCTCAAAACACAAATGTCAAATACAGTCTTCCCACCAAAAAGGTGTTTCTCCAAGACAACGACAGAAGAGAGATGAGTATTGGCAGAAACTCACCTCTTCCTGGAAGAGATTCTGCCGGTTCTTCAGAGCTCGTAATCTGTTCTGTTTGTCTTCATGCTCTAAGTGCTCCTCTGGTGGGTGGAAGTAACCGATCAGGTCCTGCAGACTTAGACTCACGGACTCGATAGGTAAGTCTACTGTGGAAGCTTTCACTTTTTTGCTGAGAGCATCAAGGCCCCTAAAATAAATAACAAACATTTCTCTACATCAGTGATTCCCAATTTTGTTCTATTACTTTTTAGTCTAGAGATGATTTAAAGCTCTACTCACTCTCCTGAGACTCCTGCAAAAGG